TAGATAGATAGATAGATAGATAGATAGATAGATAGATAGATAGATAGATAGATAGATAGGAGAGTGGGGGAGAGAGGGAGAGGGAGAGAGAGAAGGAGAGAGGGAGACTGACTGACTGACTGACTTGGTCCAACACAACACAAACACCGCAAATTTAATGTGGACTCACATCGTTTACTTTGAATTACATCTATTTTAGCTTAAAATCTTAACAAGACAGGGACTGATAACAGGCAGAAGCAAGTTGAAAAAAACCACTGATTATTTCAGATATCCAGAAAGATCCCAAGGAGAACTGTATCAAGATGAGGAGAACAACCAAAAACGCTAGAATCTTCCTGGCCTTTGCCCTGCACAAGGTTGTAAGAGAGAAGCTGAAGATAAAACCATATGCTCTATTGAAACCCCCGGGGCTATATTCACCACGAACCAACCCACTCACTTATGGTTTTAAATGGACAGATCTCTTATGCATGATTGCCTTCTTGTCCTCTGTAGCTCCTTGTAGAAGACAGAAAGACTACTTTTCAAAAGATACTAGATGAATCATTAACCAGAAAGAATATAAACAAGTGGCAAGCACTGGAGATTCCTGGAACACTCTGTTCCTTCCTCTAAGAAAATAATAATGGAGCAGAGTCCCAAGTAATCTCAATAAAAAGGACTTAGAACAAATTCTATAAATACCTCATCAGGGGAATCATTTTATAGAACTAGATATAAGATACATATTTTTCATCCCGACAGACCCTTTCTACTGATTGCTCACCTCTGGAGAGACTTCTGCCCATAATCCAAATCGATCAGCAATCATCTGGTGGATTTCCCGTTGCCGATCCTTTTTTCGTACGCTCTCATAGCTTGGTAGGTGAGGCTGCTCCCATTGTGGAAGCTGATAGCTACTGGGGCTTCCAACACAGAACAATTCATCTCCCTAGGTAGGCAAAGGAACAAAGGTCATCTTTCAAAAGTTTGGTAGGTTTACATGACGTTTCCCTCCACGTTTAGTAGGCATACTATAGGCAAGCAAGAGACAGAATAACAGAGTTGGAAGGAACCTTAGAGGTCTTCTTGTCCAACCCCCTTGTCAGGCAGGAAACCCTATACCATTTCAGACAAATGGCTGTCTAGTCTCTTCTTGAAAGCCTCCAGTGTTGGGGCATTCACAATTTCTGGAGGCAAGTTGTTCCACTGATTAATTGTTCTCACTGTCATAATAGATAGATAGATAGATAGATAGATAGATAGATAGATAGATAGATAGATAGATAGATAGATAGATAGAT